AAAAATTTGGCAAAAAAACTACCAACTTCAGAACTTGGCGATGATGACGTGTTGGACGTAAATAATATTTATTTCAAAAACATTTTCAACGTTTAAAAACTTATATGAGAATCGAATCGTGAGTAGAGAATTTTTAAAAAAGGAAAAAAAGTCTACGAAATTGCTAGGGAAAGACACGGAGGGTGTGTTGGTTCTTGTAACATTCAAGACAAAGAATAATAATACTTGACTTGTGTGAGTCTCTTTGTACAAGGCAAACGATAGTATAATTCCGTAAATGGTACAAAGGAGCCTGGATAAAGGGAAAAGTATTGAGAACAAGTGAGACACCAGTTGATGCCCAATACTTGGCATATCCCCCTGCTTGTATCCAATTCAATTTGTATGCCAAGCATGTATCTCAGTCCCTCTCTCATTGCATGTAAGCACACCGCCCGCGGCCTAACCGAAGAGCCCTTGATTGTTCCTAGAGTGCTTGCTTCAGTTATGCTCAAGAGTTTCTCTTCGACAGGACTTGCGATATCTTTCTCTTTTTCTTGCGTAAGAACGATCGTTCTTATGTCGAGCGACCAGTGAGGCCAGTCATTATTTCACGGAGCCTCTTATTCCTACCTTTCGTTAGAAATAACGCTGAAGTATACCCATAACTCCTTGCCACTGCAAAAAAGGATTGGTACAGAGTGTGTTGTATGTTTGTAAAGTTCTGTCTCGAATGATCCGGCTCTGAGAACAGACAACTCGTCTATAGGTAGTAGAAAAGAGCAAAACATATATTCCAATCGCTTCTTGATATTTCTAGAGAAAGAATTGCTAGTATATATATATGTATATAAGAAGGTATATACAATACATGATAGTTTTTCTCACATTTTTGTGTAGTTTACTTTTATTTTTTCTGATTCAACTGAAGGTATCATTATCAGGTACAGTCGTAGATATAGAAAGACGCTGTGGTTTACAGAAAACAACTAACGAGACGACAGTGCAATCGTTCTACAAGTCGCCGCAAATGAAGATAGTAATCCTCGTCAAGTAAGGTACTAGACATTCACATCACTGCCGCACCGTTGGAGTTCAATTCAATGCGAGCCAAGATTCACGGCGTGAGACGCAATTTGTCTGCTAAGACATATATGAATTAAGTATACCCTTATTTTCCCATCATCAATTCTATTCTATTAATCTCATGAAGATCAATATTCAACTTCCTGTCTTTTTAAAATAAAACCTCGGATAAGAAAAATCTATCACGCAATAAACATCCGTCATCATAATTTTCTGAAATTTATATCATATTTCTAAAGATATTACTTTCGATGAAGTCTTGGAAACATAAGTATTTGAGAAGAAAGTTTTGGTTACAAAGTTTTTCAAATTGTTAGGTGGTTCATTAACATGTGAATTGTGAGTTATGTCATTATAATACCATCCAATCCTATTTTGCTAATTTTGAAAGAAGTAAATTAAACATTTTGAATCATTTTTTTCGCATTATTTGAATATCGTATTAAATCTATGTTTCTTCAACCAATAGTTACGCTTTTAAATATTCATGTATGTATGTAATATGATTTGTTAATATGGAATCTAAATAGAATAAGCAAAAAATTGCATTTGAGGAACCACAAATGTCTATTTAATATTCCAGATATCTAGTAGATACGTAAATTTTCAACATGCTACAATTAAAAATACATTACACACTCGAAAATAACTTTATTTAAGCAAAAATCATTCTGCTATGATGAGGCTGTGACTTCATTTGTCGATTTCACTACTTTTCTGATTCAGTTTATTGTCAATTACTAATAGAAACCATTTCTTTAGTGAAATAAAAATAATTCGCAGAATAGCAATTTGAAACTATCTTCCATTGAAAAATAATAATCTTGTAATTAATATTTTTTATTATAGAGTAATTATAATTGGAAGAATCATAATTTCAAATATCAATTAATTCTCTACAGTTGAACGTGAAGTTACGAGAAGTATTCGAATGCTTCTCGTAATTTCTGGCGTAATTTTCCTTACAGTTTTTTTCTGAATCTTTCTCATAGTTTTTATTCCACTCTTTTTCTTTGCATCCTTCTTGATCATCTTCGTAACAATGCTCCTATTTTGATAATATTTTTTCCAAAATAAAATTAGACTATAGCGAAGTTTTTCTTAGTCAATATTGATTTTAGGTGTGCTAAAGATATCTTTTGTTTGAGAAATCTAATTATTAAAAATCGTAATCAGTTAGATGTTGCTACTAAATACTAATCTAGCATTACATATCACTAGTTATCAGTAAATGAAATCGTTTCTATACATAAATGAAAAATTATAAGTGCAATACAAAAAATAATGTTTAAAATGTAATACGAAAGAGAGTGAAAATAATACATCAGGCAAGATAGACGACACTCTAGGGAGCTTAACGTAAAATAAAGTGATGAACGACATATTCAGCAGAAATATTGCTGTTAGGGGCGTAACTAATCTGTAACTTTGTTAATAATCAGCAGAAAATTCTCGTTCAATCGAAAGCTTATGATCTTGAGTGGCTACCTATTAAATATGCAGTAATCACAGAGATATTTGCATGTAAAGATTCATTGGTGACGTCACATAATATTGAAAGAGCGCGCTAGTGTAAATCTACCGCTACTCTAGATGCCTGATGCAGAAAATAACAATCTCCACAGCCGGTAAATTTTGTTTATCTAAGAATTTTTACTGGGTTGCCCAGTCCTTATTTTGGCTCGCTTTTTTTATAATTATTACGAGAATTTCGGTCATCCATTTTTTTTCCTGTAGAAATTTCATTAAGTATCATTAATTAATAATATTTCTTATATAAAGATCATCAAAAATCATTACTCAAGTATTCTTTGTTTTTAACAAAAAAAAATTGTAATCAAGACCTGATAAATTCATCTGACCCATACCGGATTTAGTAAGCGGATCCAGTCTATTTCATATGAAGTGTGACGTTTATTATCATATCCGGATCAGAAATCCTGATCCGTTCTTGATCAAACTTCAGGCAATCCTAATCCAAATTGGATCCAAAATGGAACTAATTTCTAGTCGGGGTGTTTTTCAAAGTAAAAAGGAAACAAAAAACGTTTTGTTGTTAAAAACAATTTTTTTTCCAACCATTTAATAGAACATTCCGAAAAATGTTCTTCTCAAGTTCTATTTCGTTTTATTTTTGTGGTATTCTTATGAAGAACACCTTTAAAACATATTTTTTTCATATGAGTGTCTATCAAAAATGCTGTTTTAAAAAATGTTAATAACCGTAAATACATTAAAAAAAGAAGTTAATGAAACTTGATGGAGCTGTTGGCGAGTAATTTAAAAAAAGAAAAAAATTCAACAGCTTGCAATAAGAATATTGTTCTTTTAAAAAAAAATAAAAAAATTTTTTAGTCTTTTATTAATTAAAATAAAAACTCTTTCTTAAACTTTTAAGGATCTTACAGATGCTATCGACGTGAGTTCCAGCGGTTTATGTGTGAATTTCTTGCATCCCGCGCGATCCAACGTGAGATTCGAGAAATAAATGCGCGAAAAAAAATCGAAACGAATCGAAATAAGTGCCGAGAGCTGCAAGCGTTTTAGATTTATCTTTAACTCTTTTCCGTTTCTCTTTCTTAACTTTCAGTTCTACCCTGTGGTGATGTCTCCGTATATGGCGTGGTTTAAGCGACTGTGAAAAATTGAGATGGAACGCACGAATGTAACGTGCATTTTCTCTGACTTTCAGGTGGTGAACTGAAGTATTACCAACTTCTCACCTGGTACCACCTTGCGATTCTTAGTGCTGCACATTATTCCATTTACTACATAGTCATTTGCACAACTAGTAACATTTACAAAAGTACTGCTATTACATCTTTATTCTATTCCATTGAAAAAACAAAAAAAAATACTAACTTTTATCAATTGTACTTCTTTGTGAAGAAGTAGAAAAATTTATAATCAAATACGCTAAATCATTCAGGAAAAAAGGACGTGAGTGCTCATAAAATATAAAATAAATAGAATTTTATTATTCATTTAAATTTTACATAAATTTTTACCCACTTACAGTAATATATATAATTATAGCTGTCATTTTAGTTGTCCAACAACGCTATCAGCATGTTAAAAGATTGTATTACTATTAACGATGTTTATTGATGATTTATGTATGGTACGTTTTTAGTTAAATAGAAAAATATGCTTTTGAAGTAATATGTTATTTACATAAATGAGTTAATACTTTAATTTTTATTCATGAATATAAATTATTCTTCAGCGTTTTTCTTTTTATAATTAATCTTTACTGTAAATATTTATTCTATGATACTTATTTTTAAATGAAATAACAAGAAAAGGTATGTAAATTTTATAGAAAATGCTGCAAGGAAAAAAAAGAATCATTTTCTAAATGTGTCTATAAAAGTGAACAATGAAAACAGGCTAAATATATGCAATAGGTTACTGTAAAAAATGTCTACATGGAAAGAATTTTTTCACTAAATGTAAGTGCAAAAATGACAAGTCCACGTTCCGAAATTTAGAAGTAAAAATTTTTCTATTCGATGGTAAATTTTGAATTCTCCTAAGCAAACTTGAGACTTAAAAGGTGTATTAGTAAAAATTAGACAACCCAAAATTCACTGTTGAACAGAAATATGTTTACTTATAAATTTTGAAACGTGCGCTTGTCATTTTTGCACTTACATTTACACTTTACATGATATTTTTGTATCAAAACTTCATCGAAGAAATATGTTTTTTTTTGACGTTTTATTTTCAAAATCCAAGATATTTTGTAAAATATTCATCGATGAACAGTATCATTGCAAGAATAATTTTTTTTCATGAAATTTATGAATAAAAAAATGAGTAAGGTAAATACTTTATAATCAACTTAATCTTTTACAACGTAATCATTATAAATTTCTTCATAAATTACATTAACTACAGATAATTAATTCAAAATATTTGTCTAACCCCAATAAAATAGTAATAATTTGTTATCATCAGATCGATGATCATATATCCATTATAAAGAATAGTCAATAAGATGAATACAGATAGTTAACTCATATACTTAAATGATACCTAATTGATTATATACATTTCCAATCATAATCCAAATCCAATGTGAAATTTCTTTATGGATACTTATTCAGCAAAGGATTAAAATATATCAATACCATGAAGCTGCATCATTGTTAGATCAATGAGTCACGTGCCGACAGAAGCAATGTAATTTTTTTAACTTCCTCTAATTAATAACGATCATTCCAGAATCTACGTATTTGTTGGCATCTGCATACATGTAAGCACCTGTATATCATACATGCTGCACCCTCCGGATGTTAACCTGAAAACCAGTTTCATTATTATGCTTTTATCGTTGGTTTGAGCGAGTTGAGATAAAGCGACAAATAAAATGTTTATCGATCCTGTTACCAGACTTCTATGAAAAGGTCCAGACGAACAAACTCAGAATATGAATCACTTAAGATGTCATAATCGTAAATCATATGCAATCAAATATATTCACAATCTGTCTTTTTTAATAACGTATCCTAGTCTTATGAATACTATATAACTGGTGGTATGTAACTTGTAAGTAATGAGTAATAAATTAATTATTGAAGGAAAGCAAGTCATAGATAATAGTATAAAAATAAAATAACTTCAATTACCGAGTCAATGACATTCTGAAGGGAACGTCAATGACCGAGACAAGTCAATTGACGATGCAGTGACTGCTATTCGTGCATGTTTAAGTTAAACCTTTGATGATTATATGTAGAAGATACTTGAAAAGTTATCATAGCATTTACTTATTGTTTTTCATTTTCATTCATTTGATATTATCTTATTACAACATCATTTAGTTATTTCATCTGATCACCACGTTTTTGTATTTATTAACTCATTTATCTTTTTTTAGAAGATTCTACATTTATCATTATATTCGAAGAGAACATTTTTGCACCCCCACGGCTTTACCTGTGTCACTTTATAATTTATTATTCCCAGTTCATAACGAAATTAATGTCTTTATTAAATATTATTCATCGTCTATGGAAAAAAATGGAAGCAGACCCATGTCTTAAATTGCTTGCAGTGAAAGACACACTATAATAGGATATGCCCGTCTTGAAGCGTGAAAAAATGTTGGTTCTGTCTTCTTAGTTTATTGCTTAGTAAAAATGAATTAATCAAACCAAGCATGCCTACACACCCATTTTGTCTTTCTTCACTTAAGCAAATGTATACTTGAGAGAAAAAAAAAAAGATACCTACATTATCTTAAGATTAAAGCGGTAGCTGTTGATTAAAAGGCTAACATATTGTGACGTGGTATCTAATTTGGACTAATTTCGTATTATTATGGCTCCTAGAATGACTGTGGTTCGTGAGATTTTTGGTGAATTCGTTTATCCATTAGCCCAATTTATCAGCTCAAAAGGCACCGCCATAAATGCAGTTAAACTGGTCCATTCGAATACTGAAGTCAATGATACAACATTAAATTTAAGAGAGCTTTTGGTGAAGAGAAGGTCTATTAGATAAAATAGGGAGTTTGAAAATTGTAAACAGGTGTTCAACTCTTAGTTTTCAACTGCTAATCATTGATAGATGCTTACTCTTTTTAGACTCGATTAACTTTTTATCAATTGAATCGAAAGGAATTTAACAGATTGCATAATCAATAAAAAAAAATAGGTCGGAGCACACTTTGTCTGTGCTAACACGACGAACTTCCCATTAGTAATTGTTTATAAGAAATTCATATTGTTATAAACAATGTGTCATTGTTGAAAGTCGTATTTGGTTATGAACAATAATTTCTAGTCAATGTCGACTTTATGTTCAAATAAAATTGTAAATAATAAAATAGTTCATCTTTTTATTTATTCATTATTAGTTTTTTTGTTATACGAAAAACGGCTCAACTGATTTTGTTAAAATTTCTTTCAGGTCTTCTTTATAATAATATCTTTCGAATTAATTTTAGTTGAAGTTGATATCTCGATCCGTTCTTGAGATATCGAAAATGAAAAAAATGCTACATACATCGATACACACGTACATGCACACACACACACACATCATTTTAAAAATTGGTCAGTATGCTTGCAAATATCATGGAACGTGGAGATCTGATGAAAATTCAAATTTCACCAATCGACCCAATTTCAATAGCTTCCTAATTGGAAGTTAAAAATTGATAAAATGTTTAAATTGACGAAAAAAAATCCGGGTAAGTTTAACGACTCTTGTAAATTCCACAATCTTGGTTTTATTATTCTCCTGAGCTCTCTTGATACGTTTAGTTATGTTTCTTCCTTTAATAGATATAAAATAAGAACTGATATAATATTAAACATTGAAAATAATAATAAAGAAGTAGTAGAGATGATTATATGAGATCTGAAAATAAAACCAACTGTTTTCTATTTCATTAAACTTCACTTCTTGAAGAGAATGATACTTGTTCTTTTTTGATGACATAGCTACTAGAATGTCTGATAAAAAATCAAGATGATGGAATGAAATAAAAGAATTATAATAATAGAAAAGCTCTGATTAATAGGAGCATTTTACATAATAATCTCTGTTGTCGAGGTACAGAATATTTTATTATCATTTACTTTTTTTTTTTAATGGAAACTTATTCATTAATCTTTGTTGTAATATCCATCAATTGCAAGTCATGTTTAAGATTAAGTTATTTTCTGGCATGTGAGCATTTTTTTCAACTATATAGTCTTTCATTTAGAATATTGATTAACCATAAAAATTTTGTTTTTTATTTTTCTTGAACAAGTGAAGTAATTTTTTTTGCAGTGAATCATGCTATCATTCTATAAAATTATTTTGATCTTTTTTAATAGGCAATGAGAAAATATGCAATAATCAATTAATTTTACTGTGTATGGGTTATTCTTCATACACAAATGTTTTTATTACATGAGCTTTTTCAACGACCACATCTTAACTCTTAATTAAAACTCCAATAAAATAAGAAGATAAGTTTATGGTACTTATAGAAAATAACCTCCTCCATCATAATAATTCCTTATTATCAACATCCACTATTTTTCTGTATTTAAAAATAATTGAACTGACGTTGTAATAATTAGAAAAATGAACCAGTTTCGTTGAAACACTACTTTTAAATAAACAAACTTCAACGAAGATAACGTGAGGAAATATTTATCAGATAGAATTTATTGTCTGTAATAAAATGCAACTGCGGTAAGGATTAAGTGAGGAAAAAATAAATAGATTTTAATACGTGTTTAATCGTGAATGAACTTTATACAAGACTCTCGTAGGGTCAACGCACCAGTGGATGAACAGTCACCAGTGAATGAATGACATGGCCAATATATTTATGTATTGCTAATATATAGATATACTGAGCATAGTATCCACTCATTGGTGTATTTGATTTACTTTCAATATTTTATTATTCATTTTGAGTGTTTCAAAGATAGATCATTCAAATGAAATTTGTTATATTCCATTTAAATGACCTTATAGAGCAGTCTTGTTTTACTGATACACCGGATAGCAATTTAATTCCTAACGATTAATGAAACTATCGATATCCTTAATCGTTCATTCACTGGTGCTTCAATCTTAGATAGAAAATATTATAATCAAAGTTTTCTTCAGCATCTACAAACCGAAAAGTCTCATTCCAACTTCCAATTTACTCAACAATTTGATGAAAGGAAATGAAATACTCTTATTAAAAGTAACTACAACGTTTATTCGAGTAAAATTGAATTTGGTCTCGGTAGTTTTATTTCCAAAAAATAGAATCTTGAATTCCGAAGAAGTAATTGAGGAAAACGAAAACTATGTAGAACTTAAGGTATACCAGCTGCAATTCTTGGTCACGAATCCAACTCGCGGCCGCCAAGTTGAGTTCAGAAAACATTCTTAGAGGACGACAAGACCCGCTATGTAAATTTAGTTTCTCTCAGCTGCCGGCCACGGACTTGCGCCTTGCAATTAGTGTGGAATGCACCGGATGTTTTAAGTCTAAGCATCGAATTAATGACGTGTGCGGGCGACCCATGGCGTAAATTTTCTGACAAAGTATTGAATCGATCCTTATTTAAGGTACTCTACGTTTTTATAGTAGATTACATTTTATTTATTGCATAACTGAACATTAAACAAATGACAATAATTAAATAGATACTGATGGGAGAATCTTCAAATAAAAGGTTTATGATTTTCTTTTATTCTATCCTCATTGATGAATCGTAAAATGCACATTTCTCTAATAAACATAGATCAATATTGTAAAATAAGAACGAATAACAACTTCGGAAAATTAATAAATAAAGAAAAATGTTTATTAAAGATTGACAGCAATCAATTAGAAAGAAAGAATCCGTGCGGTCAACTCAAGTCTCAGTCAAAAACTGGAGATGAACAAACTCTCCCCTCGTTGCTATAAACAATCTAATCGTCAAGCAATCGTCGTTAACTAACAAACTGTCGTTAGTTTAATAGTCATTAGATGGCGACATACAAATATTTTACACTTCTCCCGATCTTCTAAAGATTGCCACCCGGCAATTCCTATTAATTGGGTAAAAATATTGGATTAAGCTGAAATGAATAACATGAAAAATCTAAAATTGAATTTCTAATTCGAAATTATGAAAATCAAATTAATAATCATTCAGCCTAGATTCCAATATTGTCGCTTCCCAACTCTGTCTGCTTTAAAATAAATAAAACAAATAATTAGGAGGGAAAAATCCTGTGGCGGGTAAAAACCTCCAAACAGACCAAAATGATCTAAATTAAACTAATAACGTGATTCTATACGATAAAAGATTCCTTAAAAACTAATCGTCCGTTAGTCAAAATAAAAATTAAAAATTTAAATTTCCATCTTCAATTCCCTTTCCATCCTTCTTTTTCATCAGGAGGAACCACTGGGAAGAACCAAAAGAACCCAAAGAGTAGGAAATGCCAAGAACTGGAAGGTCATGGAACTAAACAAAATAAAAGTTCCTCACAGAATCAAAGTTCTTTAAAAATTTCATTATTCAATCATAGATTCAATGTTCAATTAATAATTAGGTTGAATGGTCACATTTCATGGGGTCAATTCTCGAATTAAATTCCGACTTCGGGTCCTTTTTAAATAAAATCCGACTCTCAAATAAATGATTCAATATCATTAAAACAATCAATTCAATTCCACCTTGCGCAAGGAATTTTCAAAAATAAGTTCAATAGCTTCTGCTCACTGTGCAAACTAAATTATTAAAAATTGGGCTCACAGTTACGCATACTATCCGAACAAAAATAATAGGATACCATGGACACTAG